CAAATGTAAGGGACAGAAGTGTAAGTGAAGACTGTTCGTACCTCTTGATGTAGATAACTTCCACTCCTGATCTTATTATGACTTGAAACACTTCTCGTTGATTTACTCTCCTCTCAGATTAGCTGACTTCCTTTTTCTTTTTTCTTTTTTTGTTAATTGATAATGTTTCGATGTTTGCATTTATATAATAACTTGATGACCACGTGAATATTGTTTCTTTCCGTGTTCGCAACTTCCGCAGAAACTCACAAAGTTAAGTCATGTCATCACGTACACATCAAAGCCTATTGTTTTATTGAAGGGTGCTGTTGAGTCCATCGTCACGATGTCGCTCGATGGCTTTTTTTGTTCGAGTGCACAGTTTCTTCAAAGATCCTTTACCTGTAACTGTTATTTCAGCGCTAAAATTTCTCCCAACGACTGCAAGAATGAGCTACGTTTTCGGCGCAAGATCAGTCTTTGCTTGTAGATTCGACCGCAACCGTTTCAGCGGATTACTTTTTTTTTCCGGGAACTGAACTTTCACAAACATGACTGATAGGTTTACGTTATCTATACATGCGGTTTTTAAGACATCACAATGAGACTGCAATCGACAATGTAAACACGCTTTAGAGCAGCAAAACCTATAGCAGATATCATGAAATCACTGTAAAAGCGAAGAGGAGCTCGAGAGACGGTATGGATTTGAAAACATGAGGGTTTCAACTTTTTTCGGGTACATTTAGCTGTTAAAATTTCATTAGAACCATTCGGCTTAGTTTACGAGAAAGTTCCAAGAATTATTTAACAGACTTTCTTAGAGTTTCCTGCCTAAACTCACGTCAATAAAGAGAGGTGTACTACTCAAACGTCGAACAGTTTGGCACAGTCTTGAGAAACAGATTCAAAACTTAGCGGAAAATTCACGAAACTTGCACTTTAAATCTCATTGTACATTTACAACGGGTACATTCGACTGTTAAATTCATCAAACTTGTTACGCCAAGTCTACATGAAAATGCAGAAAATGATGTTAAAGACTTCATCAGAACTTCCTGTGTAAACTAACGTCAATACTCAGTGAGGTATATCACTCAAACGTCGATCACTTCGATTTAGTCTTGATAACAGATCACGCTTTAATTTTCAAACTATTCTCATGAACAGGTTGGCTGTAGATAGAGATAAGGGAAAATAAAGCAAACAAAAAACTACTGAAAATCAACCAGACAAAAGACGAGAGGAGAGAAGCGGAGGAGAGAAGATTCTCGTAAAAGGCGAGACGAGGGGGAAACGTCAGGGATATCTCTTCCTTTGATGGTTTCACTTCGCCTCTGTATTTCTCGCACCCAACTTTTTATTTCCCCCCTTACGTGAAGAAATCCTTAGGTGGGGTGCAAATGACGTCGACTGGCCTTACGTCCACAATCTAACCAGTATCGAGAAGACATATGAACGGTTGCGTTTGTTGAAAAATAACGCTCAGTGACTGTGAGTACCTGATGCCCATTTAGTAGGAAAAATCTTCTCCAATCTTAATCAGACCGCATGCAGTAATGAACCAGTTTTAAGATATCGCTTGCAGTCTCCGTGGGCAATATGAAGCGAATCCTGTGTTTTGATTGGCTGCCCAAGCGGGTAAGATGGGGTCACCTTGCCCGGTCGGGATTGCCTGCTTTGTTCCCGTATTAGAAATAAAATTCCCCAAGGCAAATTTACAAAAAAGTTCGTAATATTTTGGGGTGTCGGCGATTGAGTCGTTAAAAGAGGTAAAGGATAGTCAACATAAACGGCTCTCGTAGGTTTATTGTGCTTCAAACACAGTTGGCTTTCTTTGTCGGTTCTCGAAATGAACAGGTCATTCTTACGCAGATATGACTATTGCAATTGGTTTAAGGCCAAGAAACAGACAATTGATACTTTAGGTTGCTTATGTATGCGGTTTCTAAAACATTACAACTTAACGGGAATTAGTGATAAAAATAGCGCTCTCTACTGCGAGGATCGTGCATCACACGTAAAAATATCATAGCGACATTATAAAGTCACTGTAAGAGCGATGAAGAGAGTAGTATGGACTTGAAAAAATAAGTACAGGTTTCAAATTTTTACAGGTACATCAGAACCATTTGGTTTAATTTACGTGACAATTCACAGAATGTTGTCAAATTAAAGACTTCCCTGGAGCTTCGTGTGTAAACTCACGTCATGCGGTGTGCGACCCAAACATCAGTCACTCGAGGCCAATTTTTGGAGAAGATTCAAAATTTACACAATTCTCAACACTTGCCCTTAAATTCTCCTTGTAAATTTATATCGGGTACATTTATTTGTTTAAATTCGCCAGAATCATTCGGCTGAGTCATTCAACTAAATAAACGAGCAAAAACAGGCCATGATGTAAAGAATATAATGTGCGTATAAAGTAACGACAACGATCTGACAGATGTGCAAACCAAACGTCGATCATTCTGGCCAAGTCTTGAGCGCAATTGTAAAAATTTAGGTTTTTTTTTTTTCAATATTCGCACGTACATTCTCATTAAGGGTCTAAAAGTAATTAGTCTATAAGTTACACAAAACCCTCGTTTACAACACTGGTTTGAACGAATAATAGCGCTGGGTTCAAAACACATCAGAAATTTCTCCTTGTTTCCTCGATACTGAACTCACTAAATCCAGACTATACTCGTGTACAGGCTAGCTGTCGCTAGAGATGCGGAGCAAAAAGAAAATAAAAAAGAAATTGTAAGTCAGGCAAACAAAAAAAGTTGATGAGAGGGGAATTCTCGTAGAAAGAAAATGAGTGGGAACCAGACAAGAGCGGATACAATTCAATTTGATGGCTCTCCCGTCGCTTCTGCATTTCACGCACTCGGTTATCTATCTCCCTTGAGAAAAGGAATCCTTAAAAAAAGGTACAAATGACAGGTCTCATGTCCGTAATCTAACACAATATATCATTGGTTTGCTGAAGGGATATAATTTAAGGCGGGGAAGAGAAGAACATAGAGTATAGAGTTCTTTTTTTTTGATCCATTGTTTATGATAATTCCTGTAAATTTCCACTGAGTAGAGAATCAGCGACAATTTGGAGATCTCTTTTTTTCATTAAAGATTCATTACTTGTAAATATAACTCGGCCCAAACTCGCTCTAAATGACTGAAAAATTAATTAAGCTAAATTTTTGTTCAAGATTAGTGGAATGCGATCGCTTAAACGGGTTATTTATTTTCCCACTGAGTTGAACTTCGGTGAACGTGACCAAGAAACAAACAATAGCGCTTTATACTATTACTAAAAATAGATTTTGTTACTTGCTAACAAGACTCGGACAGACTCGGACAAACATTGCTAAAAATTAATTAAGCTAAATTTTTGTTCAAGATTAGTCGACTGCGATCGCTTAAACGGGTTATTTATTTTCCCACTGAGTCGAACTTCGGTGAACGTGACCAAGAAACAAACAATAGCGCTTTATACTATTACTAAAAATAGATTTTGTTACGTGATATTAAGACTCGCACAGACTCGGACAAACATTGCGACCAGCTTAAGGAAATTTCCCGATCCACTGAAGGCAAATCTAAGGCTAGCGCAAGTAAGTTGAGCACATGCTCCTAAGAGAAAAGCACCGAAATAAAGAGAAAATTCAGCGTCAAAGAAACAGAAACTATTTAATGACAACTGCATGAACATTAACTACATAAACTACATGAACTGACATTTCATTTTAACACAACCAGTATTGAGCGAAATATACAAAAATCCGCCGCTCGTATCTTACAAGAGAGGGCGATCGCTCAAAGACATACTCGTGAGGGCCAAACTTTGAATAGGCTATTCTAAACACGCGTTGGGGAGTCGTGTAGGCCTGTCAACCCCCTTTTTACATTGTTTACATCAGAATTTTCTTGAAAAACTTTGGCAGCAAACCATTTTCCATGATCGATTGCCGGATCAAGGGTGTGATAATTCCCGCATCTCACACAGTCTGTATAAGATCTTTTCGTTTACCGCTTAATTTTCAGCCCCTACATTTTAACCACAGTTTTAGCTGGTCTACAGTGTATTATTCCGGTTCTCTATCAAATTTGGAGCCAGGAACGCTGTCCTCTTCGGTCAGAACTGTAAGGGAATATGCGAACTACTCGCCATTTCCTTTGTGGCTCTCAAAGAAGTGGAGTTTGTTTGTCTGAGTCACGCAGGGGTCTAAAATTTCATGACGTCATTAGCATAAAGCGCTATTGATGAGATGCTACTTATGTATGCGGTTTCAAAAACATCACAACTGAA